CCCCGCCCTCACTAGGTGTGCGGAGCTGCTCCTGAGGTTTGGGGCGAAAGTGGATGGTCGGTCCGAGGAAGAAGAAGAGACCCCTTTGCATGTGGCTGCCCGGCTTGGCCATGTGGAGCTGGCAGACCTACTTCTAAGACGGGGAGCATGCCCAGATGCCCGTGATGCCGAAGGCTGGACGCCGCTGCTGGTTGCCTGTGACACCCGCTGCACATCCCCCACGGATGCTGAAGCCACCACAGCCCGCTGCCTCCAGCTGTGCCACTTGCTGCTCTCAGCCGGTGCCGACGCAGATGCTGCCGACCAGGACAAGCGGCGACCCCTGCATCTGGCCTGTCGCCGTGGCCATGCGGCCATCGTGGAGCTACTCCTGTCCTGCGGTGTCAGTGTCAACGCCATGGACTATGGGGGACACACGGCCCTGCACTGTGCTCTACAGGGCCCACCCTCAGCCTTGGCGCAGAGCCCCGAGCATGCAGTGCGAGCCCTGCTCAACCACGGTGCTGTCCGAGTCTGGCCTGGGGCTCTCCCCAAGGTATGGGGCTGTGGCAGAGGGAGGGCAACGAAGAAGAGGCCCAGATCTGTGCTGCCACATGCTCTGGAGGCAGCCCGGGCCGTTTGGGCATTTGATAGGTCAGTTCGGTCTGTCTTTCATGCCACAAGTCAGCAAAGCCCAACAGGGGCAAAGGTGAGGCCACAGAAGAGGGGTGTGTGTGGATGTGCTGGTGTGCACGTGCCATACATGTGTGTGTGCACATATGTGTACACATGTATATGTGTATCCTGGGTGTATGCACATGTGTGCATGTGTGGTGAAGATGGACCGAGGGCAGTGGGGCCAGATTATAAGATTGGAAGAGTCCTAAAGGAGGGCCTGGGACTGTGGGCAGAAGGAGCGAGCTGGTAAAAGGAGCACTTAGGAACCTCTGCCTGGCTGTGGGACCCATCAGTGAGACACTCGATGAGCCTGGGCGATGAGGTTCCTGGTTTGGATGAGTTGGTCCTGGTTTCTGAGCGCTTGGCAGGGCAGGCATCACCCAGTCCAGCCGCAGCTGTCCTGGCACCTGAGAAAAAAACCTTTCACAGTTAATTTCCAATCTGTTTCTGATTTTATGTTAATTTCCCCAAAGTGGGTTCAACTGGAGGACCTGTGTTACTGATGCCTGGGCAGGGGCCCTGTGCCATGCTGTGTCGTGTCTGGAGGGGGTTATATGATGTCATGAAGGGCACTGGGCCTTGGGCAGGGAACCCTGTTCTCCGAGGAGTTGGGTCAGGGCTAATACAGTTGTGGGAAGGTCCCTCTGCCCTATCTCCCTGCTTGTCCTGCCCAGCCCAGCCCCATCCTGGACGCTCCCTGCTATCCTCTCCTCTCCCCTTCACTCACAGACCTAGAAGCATCTGTCTAGATTCCTAAGCAAGACCAAATAATTAAACAGCCTGAGAGTTCGGCAGATTGGTCTCCCCTTTGGGAGAATACAAGAAAATCAACAATTAACACTAATTAATCTCCTATTAACACCAGATAATTAGGAGACAAGCAATTCCCTGTAATCTGATGGTGGCTCTGACAGCTAATGATTTCCCGGAGTCGGGGACAGGGTGGGAGGAGAAGGCGGAACAGCAGGCAGATTTCCCGGGACCCCACTGCCCGCCCCTCGCCCTGCTCCTCCCTGCCTCCTGGACCAAGGAGGCCACACAGCAAATTGCCCCATTCATCCCTTCACGATCAGAAAGCGCAGGAACCACTTTCCAAGATCGGGCAGCTGTCCCAGGCTTGGCTGGGGTGCCTGTTCTCTGGTGAGCAACTTCTTCCTGCTAGGAGGCCTCCACGGCCCATCTGGGACCACTGCCAGCCCCAGCCGGCTCTCTAGGGGCCACCACAGTGGACTGGGCACTCAGGAGACCAGCCTTTGATGCTTGTTTGTATGACTATAGGCAAGTCACTGGCAGTTTTTGAACCCAAGTTCCCTGTGACCTGACAGTGCTGAAAAGCTATTGGAGCACAGTGGGTAACAGTAGGAGCCAGCACAGTCCTGCCCACACGCCAGACACTGTTTGACACCTGTTAGCTAGCCCTGTTCCACAGCCCAAGGGTGTATGCGAACGCACTTGGAAAGCTGTTAGATGTTATCCCAGTGTAGGGTATCATTAGACAAGGGAGAGAGATGTAGGTTGGAAAAACAGGAGGCTTCCCGGAGGGAGTAGGACTTGGGACAGGCTGTGCTTGAAGAGCTGGAGGCATAGGCATTCCAGGCAGGGTGTAGAGACAAATCAGCGAGGGCCAGGATGGACAGAGAGACTGGCCCCAGCCACAGGCAGGAGGAGCAGGTAGAGCAGGAAAATTGGATGTAACCAGCCTGCGTTTCCCTAGCTCTAAGGAGTGAGGCAAAGAGGCCTGCCCTGGGCGGACGGGCTGGGGCAGCTCCTGTGAGCGCTGCCCAGATGCAGGCCCAAAAGCAGAGGGCCCTGGGTGTGTGGGATGCTTCCTCCAGGGGTCCTGTTTCCTAGACAAGGCCTTCCATCTGCTCCCATTACCCGGCAGTGCCCAGAATGGACAGCACTTGCAGCCAGCAGGCGGAAGGGTCTCCTCTCCTCGTGCAGGGTGTATCAAGCCTCTAATGTTATGTGTGTGGGGAGGGAGGGGTAGGCCCAGGGATGCTGCCTGGAAGATGGCACTCTGATTTTATAAAGAATCTGTGGCGACAGCTTGCAGCTTGACATATAGCAAGAGATGGAAAAGAGGAAGCATGAATCTGTTTATGGGTATGATGGTACCTGTGTGTGTCCGACCTGTGCATGGTTGCCTTTGTGACCACGTGGGCAGCTCCCTGGCATGGCTCACCCCTCACGGCCTTCTTTGACCACCTGCCTAGGACTGTGCCCTCTCAACCACATTCCGTCTCCGAGCTTACTGATTTTCCTTTGCAGCAGCGTATCTGTAAACTGTGTTTTCCATTTGAAATAGAAACTGCCCGATGACAAGGACCTGTCTGTTCTCCTCACTGCTACGTCCCCAGTGCTTGGCCCACAGTAGCCCTCAGTATATATTTGCTGAATGAAGAAATGAGAGAATACATCTGGCTCCAACGTGATCCCACCCCCACTCCTACGTCAGGCTTCTGCTGGCCTCATAGCTTCTCCCTGAGCACCGTCCGGGCTCCTGAGTTCCCCTCACCCTCACAGCCCCAATCCCCTGCTCTGCAAATCCCTCCCTGACCACCCAACTCTGCTCCCCTGCCCCCCCCCTTGTAGCGATCGCTACCCCTCACTTAGCATCAGGCAGATTCATTAATATTTCCTCTCAAGAGCTCCAAACTCAAGTCAGGGACCCCTTTCCCATCCAGAAACATCCACCAGAGAGCCTTGTAGAGGCAGACGGCAGAGCAAGGTGATAGAGTATAGTAGTTAAATGCCAAGAGCCACACCGCCAGGCTTGGGTTGCTGGAACTGTAACTCGGGCAAGTTACTTAATTTCTCTCTGCCTCAGTTTCCCTTGTCTGTCAAATGGGGATAATAAGAGTTCAGACCTTGTAGGGACAACGGTTAAGAGACTTAATATGTGTAAAGTGCTAAGAAAAGTATCTGGCATATATTATGCACAATAGAAATGTTAGCTCATGTATTGGTTTTCTGTCACAACCACAGCAAAGCACCATAAACTGGGTGGCTTAAAGTCTTAGAAATACACTCCCTCATAGTTCTGGAGGCTGAAGATGTGAAATCCAGGTGCTGGTTTCTTCCAGAGGCTCGGAGGGAGAATCTGTTCCATGCCTGTCCCAAGCTTCTGGTGGTGCCCACGATCCGTGGCATTCCTTGGCTTGTAGATTCATCACTCCAATCTCTTCCTCCACCGTTACATGGTGTTCTCTCTGCGTGATGTCTGTGTTTCTCTTTTTTCTTTTTTGTTGTTGTTAATCCTTACCAGACGATATTTTCTTCATTGATTTTTTTAGAGAGAGTGGGAGGGAGGGAGGGAGGGGGAGAGAGAAAGAGGCAGAGAGAAGCATTGATGTGAGAGAGAAACATTGGTTGCCTACTGCACGAGCCCCGACCAGAGCCGGGGATTGAACCTGCAACCCAGGTACATGCCCTCAACTGGGAATCGAACCCATGACCCTTCGGCACCATGTTTTCTCTTCTTATAAAGACAACAGTCATATTGGATTAGGAGTCACCCTAATGAGCTCATTTTAACTTGACTACATCTGCAAAGATCCTATTTCTAAATAGATCACCTTTAGAAGTCCTGGGGATTAGGATGTCCACATATCTTTTGGGGGAGGTATTCTAACCCAGGACAGCTGGTCTAGGGCTGGCTGGCCATCCTGCGTAGACTGACTGGGGCCTGAAGTATGAGGTAGCCCTGGGAATGCTGACCACCTCTATCTCCCCAGGTGCTGGAACGCTGGTGCACGTCCCCTCGGACCCTTGAGGTCCTGATGAACACCTACAGTGTTGTGAAGCTTCCTGAGGAGGCCATGGGCCTGGTGCCTCCAGAAATCCTACAGGTTAGACTCCAGGGCCCTGACCAAACAATCACTCAGCCCGCCCAAGGGACTCCTAAAGGGAAGCCCCATCAGTCCCCCCACTCTGCCCCACAGAAATTATCCAGAGACCCTCTCATTGCCCCAGAAGAAGAAAACTTACAGTGAACACCTCAAACCCTCCCTACTCCCAAGAGGCTCCTGAAGACACCCACCGGCCACCAGCTTCCCTCTGTGGGAGGAGTGGGTGCCACTTGTCCAAGGCTGCCTCGATGAGTCCCCCCCCACCCCCGTTCTGTCCCCAGAAGCACCACCGTTTCTACTCCTCCCTCTTCGCCTTGGTGCGGCAGCCCAGATCCCTGCAGCACCTAAGCCGCTGTGCGCTCCGAGCTCACCTGGAGGCCTGCCTGCCCCACGCCCTGCCCCGCCTTCCCCTGCCGCCCCGCCTGCTCCGCTACCTGCAGCTGGACTTCGAGGACGTGCTCTATTAGGTGAGTCCTGGGTTCTGTGGACAGTCCTAGTGGGAGTATTTGGGGTGGGGAGTAGGAGACAAGAGCAGAATTGGGGGCAGGGTCCTGGCCAGAACCAGCCTGCCTCCCACGACACTGGACCTCTCTGAATGTACACCTCTCCTTCCAGATGAACACTGCATTTTGAGAGAGCCTGAAAGCAAATGCCCCAGGCATCAGGGGTGCTGGCCCGCTTCTCACAGCGCTCCAAACCCAGGACTGAACTGAACCAACTCAAGCCAAGGTGGCCCTCTCAGCAGGAGGTCATCTCCACAGGCACAGTGGGATGCTGCCATTCCCAACCATGGAGAGGCGGATGGACCATGTTTGCTGGAGAGAGAGCCAGGACTCGTGGCAAGTGATACTCTCCTCCTGGGGATCTCCTGAGGTCCCCTCTGCCGGTCCATACCTTTATGCACATTAAAGTCTCCAGATCCGTGTTGTTTGGTACTGTCTCCCACAGGTCTGCCTCTGAGCTGGCCCACTCACAGGGGACTCGGGATGGGCAGACTGGATCTTCCCCAAGGTGCCAGCTGCGTCACCTTCCCCCTTTGGCATCCACCAGCTGTTGAGGGATCCCAGGCAGATCCCTGCCCCTCTGGCTCATGATGTGGGGGAATCGCCACCAGTGATAGTGTCAGAAAGGCCCAAAGGACAGCCGGCCGGTGAATAACTTGGGTAGGGCAGAGCCTCAGCAGATGAGGCAGTGCAGACAGTGGGGCAGGACAGTAACGCAGCCTTGGAGCTGGAAAGTGAGGTGGGGACAGAAAGGCCAACAGGAAGGTGGGTGCATGGATGGGCAAGCATGGAGGGGTGATCATGGTTTAGGAGAGAGTGGAGGACCCAGGTTTAGAGAAAAATTAAAAACCCCAAAAGTTCTCTCTCTTGCACTCCTGGTACCTGCCTCTCTTTATCTGCTCCTTCATTTTATCTTTGTGGTGGCAGGAGCTGAGCTGAGAGTTACCCCCTTGGGTTCTAGTCCTGCTCTGTCCTTAACTTATAGAGCATAAGTCTCTTCCCCTCTCTGGGCTGTAAAACAAGACAGGAGAGGGTCCCAGGATTTTAAGAACCTGCAGAGGTCTCCAGCCGCCGGGAGCCGTCCTGCACCTGCAGGGGGTAGGTGGAGCTGACCCGAGCAGCGCAGCCAATCAGGTGCGCTGTGAGCAGTGACAAGGGTTGCTAGGCAGAGTTCCCTGGGCACCGGAGTGCGCACGCGCGGGAGTTCGCGGATTTTTTTTTTTCTTTTTTTTTTTTTTCCCGCCAACAGCTGGGAGCGTAGCGGCTCAGGGCTGGTCCTGAGGGCGCGAGGCGGAGGGGGCGGGGCCAGAAGCGCC